AGTGCTGTGCTTTAACCCGCTGCGCCACCAGGGAGGGCCAGTTCTCCGTATATTTTTGTGATCAGTCCTTTATCATACATACTTTTGTGTGAGAAAATGGTTTCCCAGTTAGTGGGCTGTTTGTTTTTTGTAATGTCTCACAAAAGAACATTTTAACCATTTATACAATGTTTAACAAGAAAAAGGGAAGGTGGGTGAGAGTCCGCAAAAGGGAGGGAGTAAAAGTTAGTGCTGAGATGGAGACCAGTGGGCACCAGCCTTTATTTACATAAAGACAAACAAATGGGGAATCAGCAAAGTTAGATTTTGGAATAGAACAGAAGAGGATTTCAAGAAGAAAAAAAAAAAGAACCTGTTCCCCTGGCTGGGTGGGGGTGGACATACCAGTGATCTCAGGCCTGGAGCAAAGGTAGCTAACTGAGAACAATGGGAAGTCCCAAATCCATCAGCCAGGCTGTGGGGATTTGGGAGATCTGGGCAGTGTAACAAGATTGAGAGATAGAGGAATGGGAGCACAAAAGAAAGCAGGCCTGGAAGAACATGGAACATAGGACCAGAGTTAAGAAGAAAGGCACAAGAGTGCAGGAGGAAGAGAGCTTGGATGCTGTAGAGTTTTAGGAGTGAGGAAAAAGAAAATCTTCAAGAAAGATAAGGATTGAGTAGTCGAGTGTTTCTCCTTCTGGCCACCAGTGATATCTAACTTATATTGAGGCCAAGAAATGGCCAAGTTTTTTTCTGCTTGAGGCCTTCCTGTGTAAGATCCAAAGTATCCTAATGACAGAGGATGCATTAGAGTTAAGTCACCAGTCTTGGCTGAAGAATTATCTACTAGGTATTGAGGGACAGAAAAGAAGAGAGAAAAAAAGAACGGCTTAAGAGACAGTGTATCCTAGGAAGGACAAATTCGACAAAATACGCCCTGGGTGGGGCAAATAGGACAACTTACGCCCTGGCTGGGAGGGACCAAAAAACAAAACCCGCCCTGCTGGGAGGGACCAAAAAACAAAACCCGCCCTGGCTGGGAGGGACAAACAATGCCCTGGGAGGGACCAAACTGAGAGAAAGAAAAAAAAAAGAGGGCGGTCAAGGGTGTTCTTAAGCCAAAATCTGGGTGACTCATCTTAACCTCGGTCCAGTGGTATAATCACGTGATATTTTTGCACCACAGAGGTGATACCAAGAGGAGGAAAATGCCAAGATCGACAGAAAGATTGTAACGAAGAGGGAGGCCGGGAGGCCTTGGGGATCAGGGTACGTTCAAATTGACTGTTCCCGCCTGACTCCTCGCGGAATCCAAAGAGTCCCTTGGCATAGGAGCACGCATGTATCCCCGCGCCTGCTTGGCCAAGCCTAGAGCTATTGGCCACGTCTCCACTAAGCCGTTCCGGTCTCAAGGCTAAGGATGCAGTCCCATTCAAGCCCGAGCTGGTGCGCTAGGACCGGTGTAAGAGCTGTTTATTCACTCACACATCCACACGCACATTTCAGAGAGAAGGAAAGAGAAGAGAAAAGAAGCACACCAGGCCACAGAAGAGGTTCAGAGGACGGCTCTACTTAGCCGTCCCGGGTTTCGGCACCAATTTGTTTTGTCCCAACTTCTGTGACCAGCCACAATAAAGGAAGGCGGGAAGCAGAGAGGCTGAGCAAGCAGAGTTTATTGCTCCAGGACAGCAGCTGAGACAGCCCCTAGAATGGGATCCGCAGCTACTACCAACTCAATAAGGGGGAAGGGTCTCTTATATAGATTCTAAACTCAGATTCCAAAGGGGGTGACTCATCACTGTGTCCTTGATGTGAGGCCCAGTTTGCTGTCACCTTCAGCTAGTCCCATCCAGGATCTCAAGGTTAGTTTACTACCACTTTATCAAGCTTGGATGCAAGGCTCAATTCTTTACTGTCCTAATTCAGTCTTTGTCAGTAAATCTTTGTTCACTGCCAACAGTCAGGCTATACAAAGGAATACTACACAGCAAGAACACTGAACAAACCACTCACACATGCAACAACCTGATAGAACCCCATGTGCCCTATGCTCAGTTGAAAGGAGACCCGCCTACTCTGCCTGGCATTCAGGAGGGCTCTGAGAAGGCTGAGCATTCCACAACTCACACAAGAGCTGTTGCCTGGGGGTTGGGGAGGGGTGGGGTGTGGGTGGGGGTGTGGGAGGAGCTCTGACTACACAGTGACAGGACAGAAATGTTTGGGTGGAAGAAAATGTTTTATATCTCAATGACTGTCATTGTTATGGGTGGTGCCCCCTGGAGGGGTTTGCTAGTAAAGAATAGAGCACCTCAGGAAAATGTTAAAAGTGGGGTGGAGCACCTGAAAAAGTCTGTAAAGGATGAAAAAATAAACTGGGCTCAAGGGCTCCATTTGTGTGAGAGAGAGATGCTGGGTGGTGGGCTGTGGCAAGGCTTGGCGGCAGATAGCCCTGGGAGCTGGGCCGTGTGGGCACAGGCCACATGGTGGAGGCCATCATGCGTGGCCTTGTCCCAGCAGTTGTTTTGAAACAGTTTTGTTAGGCTTGGTGGAGAAGAGACCCAGAGAGCCAGGCATCTTGCTGAAGTGTGGCCTGGAGCAGATGGGAAACCCAGAGTCAGGTGTTGTTAAATTGCATGAGTTTGTGCCCTCCCTGGTGGCCTAACGGGTTAAAGCGCAGCACCTTGTAGCTCTCCACAGCCACTGCAGCACAAGTTCCATCCTTGCCAGGGAGCTGACCCACATGGCGCAGCAGACCTCTCCTGACCTGCCCGCTGCTCTCCTCAGCAGTGTATTTCAGGATCCTGTATCTACCTATTCTGCTCCCCTCTCTGTCTCTGGTGATTCCTTTCACCACCACCCCTTCTGGCCAGTACCCCAGTTCTGTATGTATAAATAAATAAATATTTTAAAAGATGTGTGAGTTTGTCTGTCGGCCGCTAGAGCTGCTGTCCTGAGTGTGGCTAGTTTGGCGCTGTGCTGGGGCCTTTGCAGCGCAGGGAGCATCTCCTGTTGCAGCTTCCGCTGTGTTAGGGACCCGGATCCCGGCCTCTAGTCTGGCTGCCTCGTGTCCACAGCAGCAGGAAGACGCCACCTTAGACACGTGGCCTGTTGTTGGGACAGGAGCTGCACATCCTCAGTGGCGGGAAGACACCATCATGAGGGTCTTTTTGCAGGACTGGACAGTACTGGACAAGGCTTTGGGTAAAGTAAATAGCCATTATTGGCCTTAGTAACTCTTGGTTTGTTGAACTTCATGGTTTGTTGAATTTACCCCTTTGTTGTTTCCTAAGCCTGAGCAGTCTTGCAATTGTGTGCACGGGTCAAGAACCCAAACAGTAACCGGTCAACTATTTGGGCAGGGGGCCTTGGTCACTTGTCCCCTGCTGTCCTGTATCATAATGTTTACACAACTTTCTGGATTTGTCAAAAGTCAGAATTATATGCTTAATGTGAATTTTACTGTTTGTGACTTAGACCTCAATAAACCCCAAAACCAGAAAGTATTCATAACTAAAAGTTCCCATTAGGTAAGAGTTTGTGGGGACACTGTGATAGCAGGGAAATTGTCTGATGGGGCGGGAGAGGTTCAGGAGGGACCTCACATAAGGGGTCCTCTGTGTGAGGCCCTCCCTGCCCCTGGGGACCTCTGTCTAAGGTCCTTCTGGCCACATTCCCCTTAGGCCATCAGCTATGACCGCTTTCTGGCCCAGAAGGGAAGCTTGAGAGGGCCGGAGATGCAATGGAGTTGAGCCAGAGACCAAATTTCAGAGGCAGCTTTGCTGCCACCAGAGCCTCAGTTTCCTCATCTACAAAATGAGGACAACAGTCTGAATCTCACAGAGCCCAGTGAGGATACATGAGGTGTCCATGTGTGGTTAGGACATGTTTCTAGATCCACATGTGGGTGCTGGCCAATGGGAATGGCTACCAGCATGCTGGGCTTGAATTCCTGTTTCATTTCTTTTTTTTTTTTTTTTAAAGATTTATTTTTTATGCATACAGAACTGGGGTACAGGCCAAAGGTGGCGGGGGTTGGTGGTGGTGAGAGGATTCACCAGAGACAGAGTAGGGAGCAGAACAGGCAAATCTACTGAAATGCACTGCTGAGGGGAGCTGTGGGCAGGTCAGGAGAGGTCTGGCGCACCATGTGGGCCACCTCCCTGGCTGGGGATCGAACTCATGCTGCAGTGGCTGTCATAGCTTCATAGTGCTGTGCTTTAACCAATTGCATTACCAGGGAGAGCCCCCTGTCTCACTTGAACTTGGGCAAGTGAGTTAACCTTTCTAGGCTTCAATTTCCTTATTAATAAAATGAGATCTTATTGCCCCTCGCCAAGACTGTTGTGAGGATTCACTGAATAAAGGCCTTAACCCTGGGTCTAGCACATAGTAAACTCTCCCATTATTATTACAGTTTCCAAATTAGCAAATTAAAAAATACAGGATTCCCAGTTAATTTGGAATTTTAATTAAGCAATGGATTTTTTAAGGTTTATTCTATTTATGCATATAAGAACTGAGATGTAGGATAAAGATTTGGGGAAAGGCAAGAGAATTCATAAGGACAGAATGGGGAGCAAAACAGGCAGAAATAGACTGAAATATACTGCTGAGGGGAGCAGCGGACAAGACAGAGGGGCCGTCTGCACTATAGGGGTTAGCTCCCTGGCTGGGGGTCACTCATGCCACAGTGGCTGGTGATAGCTTGCTAGTGCAAAACTTAGCCCCTGTGTCACCAGGGAGGCCCTAAACAATGAATTTCTTTAAGTATAGCCTATGCAATATTTGGGACACACTTACACTAAACAACTAGTCATGGCATAATTATACTAAAAAATTAATGTTTCACTCATCTAAAATTCAAATTTAACTGAGTACCTGATATTTCATCAGGAATGAGAGAGATGTAGATTGGGGTTTATCTGAGCTGGGGGCTAAACCTCAAGATGAACAGAGGGGTGAATGACCTGCTGCTTTTAACCTCTCTACAGCCTGAGTCATTCAAATACTTAATATAGAATCACACCTCCTCCAGGAAGCTCCCTTGATTTAACTAACACGGCCCATTCATTCCTGCTTTTGTTTGACTTCCGGCTTCTAGGCAGTATCATGGAACACTGCTGGGCAGTGCAGCCCTTTGGATTTCCTGAAACCATTTCTATCCCTATCCCTGAGTTGTCAGCCCTCTGGACCGGCCTCCCCTAGGGGTCCAGCCCCGGGGGTGGGTGCGACATGCATAGTGGGCTCTCCGTGACTGCGGCTTGATGTCTGAGTGGCAGTGCTGCTCTTACATAATCTGTTTCTCTCCTCCTTTCTCTTTCCAGAGCCAGATTTCACACTGAGCAGCTGCAGACAGAAAAATCAGAGAAAGCACAACCCAGCTCCAGATTCCGAGGGGCCTGCCGGGGACTCTCCTCCTGCTTGGGAAGGAAGACCGCCAGGCGGCTATTTCCAGCCAGGTCCTGGCTGCCATGGGACTCGCAGCCACCACCCCCCAGCTGCCCTCCTCGCCAGGCAGATAAGGGTGGGTGCTGCCTGGGAGCACCTGCTGCTCCTGCCAGGCCGCTCCCTCGGTGACAGCCCTTCTGACTCTGGGCCACCTTGGCTGATCCGAGGCCATGTAGGCCCCACCTGGGCCTCTGTGGACAGAAGGATAGACACGCTGCCAGGAACATTGCCTCTGCTCTCTGGGGACCCAGTGCACCACCATGCCCCAGGGATTCGCCTGGCTACACTGTGAGTACTTGGGGTGGGAGGGGGTGTGTTTGTGGGGGGCTCCCTGGGGACTACCTCTGGGAGGCCTTGGCCCAGAGCCAAGCTCTGTGGTAACCATGGCAACCAGGCATTCCTACTGGGGACAAGTTGAGATGTTTCCCAGCTTAACTGCAGACACCCTCAGAGGCTCCTACAGCCTCCGGCACCCTATCTCGGGCAGACCTGACTCAGCGGGTCTGGTGGCTACCAGCTGTAGGCCGGGTGGGCACAGTCGGTGGGTGGTCACTGTGTCCACCCAGAATGGGGGCAGCCTCCGCAGAGTCATTCGTGCTGGGAAGCATGATGGGTCTGAGGCAGCAGAGAGAGAATTTCTGGCCTTCCTGGGTGTGGCCAGCTGGGGAGGGAGACTGGGAAGAAGATACAGGGAAGAAGAGCAGCAGGTGCCCGGAAAAGCCAGCCTGTCCTCTGTGCGCTGCCTCCATCACAGAACACAGATACACGGTGAGAAGAACAGTGTTATCAGTAAAAGGAAAGATAATTTGAAATAGGGACCAAAAACCAAAAAGCTAGACGTCTCTCAAACCGACTGGGTGGGAGGCAGACCAAGATCCTTTTAGATTCTGAGATTCAATTGAATTAACTTAAATCGATTGCATTTTTCAGTTACTTCCCACATGTCTAGTGCAGTCAGCACCATGGCGACAAGAACCAGAGGCTGGCACGTGCCTCCCTCTCCAGCTTCTGGCCCAGAGTTGGGCGCTAGGAAGCTTGTGCTGAGCGCCCACAGCCTGGGGTTGGAGCCTGCACCCCCAGGGACGGCTGGGTTCGTGCCGGCCCTGGCAGAGGGATCCTTCCAGCAAAGGGTCAGGGTGTTCAGAACAGGCGGAAGAGCCCGGACCCAGGGTCCTGGTCCCTGGTCATAAGGAATAGGGGAAGCAGCGTGGGTGAGGGGCCCCTTGAGATGGTCCAGGAAGCGGCCTGGCCGTTGTTTACACAGGGAGATGTGAACACAAAGTTCGAGGTAGAGGGGACAGAGCGAGCAAGGGAAAGCTGGAAAAGATGGGGAAGCTGGTCTGGGTGCAGCAGATGACTGAGGATTTCAAGTCAAGAAACCTGCGCTCCCATCTGGGGGTGGAAGTCGTGATCGTGATCGGAGTTACTCTGCTCTTGGAAGATAAGCCTGGCAGTGCCGGCAGGAGGTGAGAGGGCCAGTTCCTGCAAATGAGAATGAAATGCAGGTGGAAGGGAGGCTGCTCGCGGAGGCAAGCAGGATTTGGCAGGGGCTGGCGTGGGTGCCAGCTGTAATAAACTGGCAGCCGTAATAAACTGCCATAAAATTGGTTTCAGACAGCAGGAATGGGTTCTGCCATAACTCTGGAAGCCCGAAGTCTGGATTCAAGGTGTGGGCAGGGCCAGGCTCCCTCCCAAGACTAGCGGAGGATCCCTCTTGCCTCTTCCCCTTTTCTGGTGGCTCCTGGTTCCTTAGCTTGTGCTGCACGGCTCCAGCCTGCCTGCATTTTCATGTGGCTTCTCTCGGTTGTCTGTGTCCTCGCCTCTGCTAGTAAGGGGGCTGGTCGTTGATTTAGGGCCCACCGTACATTGAAGATGGTGTCATCTGGAGATCCTGTTGCATCTGCACAGAGCCTATTTCCAACCAAGCTTGAATCCGAGTTCAGGTGAACATGGGTTTGGGGAGCTGTCCACACAGGCTTGGATAGTGGACAAGGTACATTTTCCTGGGCAAAGGGCATTGTTCTTTCTTCAGCCGCTTCTGTCTGATGTATCTTACCTCTGGAGGAAGAGGGGGCAAGGAGTGTCTCGCAGCCAGGGTCAGGGCTGCACAGACCGTGGCGCTGCTGTGGTGCATAGCAGCCATGAGGCTACTGCTGTCTCTGCCTGGTCACCTATTTGTTGGCTTGTTTCTCTGGGGTGGAGACAGTAGAAAAGCAGCTTAAAGTGATAAACAGTATTGGGACTACAGACTCAGAGGAAGTCTGAGACTGGGGGAAGGCAGATTATTTATGGACAGTTTTATTTTTAAAGATTTATTTATTGGCCCTCCCTGGTGGCACAGCGGGTTAAAGCACAACACTGAGAAGCTAAAGCCACTTCCGCATGATCCCCGCCTGCCCCGGAGGTGACCACATGGCGTGGCAGACCTCTCCTGACCCGCCCGCTGCTCCCCTCAGCAGTGTACTTCGTAGATCTGCCTGTTCTGCACCCCACTCTGTCTCTGGTGAATCCTCTCACCGCCCCTGAGCCTCTGGCCTGTACCCCAGTTCTGTATGCACAAATAAATAAATCTTGCAAAAAAAAAAGATTGATTTATTTATGTATACAAGAACAGGGGTGCAGGCCACAGGTACGTGTGTGTGGGGTAAGAGGATTCACCAGACAGAGTGGGGAGCAGAACAGGCAGATTGCCTGAAATACACTGCTGAAGGGAGCAGCAGGCGGGTCAGGAGAGGTCTGCTGCGCCATGTGAGTCACCTCCCTGGTTGGAAATCGGACTCCTGCTGCAGTGCCTGCCCATAGCTTCATAGTGCCGAGACCTCTTGCACCACCAGGGAGACCCTATGGACATAGTTTTTAGTGCAGCCCGTGATTCCAGGCACGGTGCCTCTGTAAGACCCTGACTTCACCCCACTGTGACCAGGCCCTGAAGGCCCAGGAGCAGGACACAGATGACAGTTGAAGCAGGACCTGGATGGAGGAATGGGCTGCCGGTGGGTGACTGCCACATGGGAAAGAAATCCCGGTGTGGACAGAGACTGACTTTGGAAAAAAAGAGGGATGTTTGGATTCTTATATGGAATTTCTGTGAACCAGATGTGGTCCCTGGGTCACCAGTTTGCAAATGTCACTTTAGGTCACTGTTTCTCAAAGCAGTCTCCAAACCAGCAGCAGCATCTTCACCTGGGAACTTAGCAATGCAAGTTGTCTGGCCCTGCACCCAACCTAGGGAATCAGACACTCTTGGGTGGCAAGCCAGGCTTTAACCAGTTGACTTGGAGATTCAGGAGCATGCTCCTGGTTCCCTGCTCGAGGTGAACCCCCAAAATACTCAATAAACAAGACCTGCTGTGCTTAGTAGCGTAATGTATTCCCACATGAAGCGCTGAGGAACTGGTCAAGACATTGGACAGATGGTGCTGGGATGGGGATTGGTGGGGCCTGCTGTAGGCAGGGGGGAGACCCTGGGGGCGGAAGGAACCTGGGCGAGGGTAACTCAGGGCACAGGCCAAGGGTGGGTGACTTGGAGCCAAGAGAGAAAGCCAGCAGAAACACTAGTTCCATTTGTGTCAATCCGTCCCTTTGTCGAGACATTGTGCCAGTGCATGGGACAGAGTTCAGAAGTGCAAGGTGGGTTGCAAATATGCAGCCTTGTGAAAAAACGAGGTGAGGAGTTCTGGGAGAGAGGAAGGATGGCAGTCTGCATCCACCCTCCCACCCCCAGGGCCAGACCTGAGGGTGTTCAGAGGGTGCAAAGGGAGGCAGTTGGACCTACGAGGAGATGGGAAGGGCTGGCAGGCAGGTCTGGCCAGCGAGGGCTTAAGAACAAGGCCTCCCCAGTGCCAGGTGAGTCGGGAAGTCTCATCAGTAATTCCCACTTGTAACCAAGGTGGATCGATGAGGTGACTCCATGGGTCTGGGCGGGAGAGGAAGAAAGAAACAAGCTGTTTTTGATCATAACAGTAGTACATATTGATTGTAGACTATAAAGTATGTTCTATAAGATAAGAAGAGTTTCATAATCTCCCAGAGAGATTTGTTGTGTTTCTTTCCCTCCACTATTAGCAACATCCAAGATAGGCTTCTAGCGAAGTAAGGAGTACTGAGTCATGCTTTTTTGAAACTTTCCTTAGCATATTTTCCTCAGCATATCATGCACATTCTTGTCACATCAGCATTTCATCAGTATTCTTTGAGCATGAGATTTTTACTGATTATGCTCATGATTACTGAGCACCCAGGCCATTTACTGATTATTTTTCACTCTTCTAAAACAAGGCTGCAGTGAAAGCTTTGGACTCCAAATCTTATTTTCCTTTGAATTATTCCTAGAGATGAGATTAATGAGTAAAAAGGGGTTGGCATTTTTACAGCTTAGTGGATCGAAGTCCTTTAATAGCAAAAATTGGCAAGTTGCTTATCTAGGGTGAGAATAACTGTCTTACAGCTTTTCTAGCACCAGGTTATTAAACTAAACTAAAACAACAAAGGAAAAACCAGTCCAGTTTGATCAGTGAAACATGACATCTGTTTGTTTCAATGTGAATTTATTTACTGGTGAGGTTGATCTTTTTGGATTCATCACTTGCCTGGCTACATTTCGTTTTTGCTCTGATTGACTTAACCTTTGTTCATCTTTGTTGTAAATTCTGTTGTATTTTTTGTGTATCTGCTCAGTCACCAAGAAATCACTCAGGCTGTTTTTGAAGTCACAGAGCCCTCCAGCGGTGAAGGCTGGTATCGTTCTCCTGCTGGCAGGGAGGAGAAACAGCCTGAGATTTGCTTAGCATCCCCAAGTGGTCAAACTGCAAAGGCCACTAACACCAACTATTCAGTGTATATTTGACCAAGAAGGATGCCAGGGATAGACAGAACAGGGAAGAGGACTCATCTGTAGATTGGAACTAGGATTTGTAGCTCTTGAATCCCCAGCTGAGAAAAGATTGCCACAGGCTTTGGAAACACATCAGATCAGCCCTAGACAGAGGGCTGAGGGTGCCCTGGAAGGGAGTTGTGCCTGCCTCAGGGGCGGGAGTATGAGGATGCTGGAGACTAACCCCAGGGCCTGGCTTCTGCTGCCCTGGAGTCCAGACCCAGGGAAACATTTCCAGTTAGAAGGCCTCTTTGGGGCCCTCACCCCCATCTCTCCCACCAGGACTTATGCCAGGGGAAAGGGAGAACAGGCACAGCTTTGCATGCCCGGGAGTGTGAAAGCAGTGCAGGGTGCTCATGCGCTCCTGTCCACAGATCTCGGGCTCCTCCTGGGCATGGCCTTGGGGCATGAGGGCTTGGAGGCATGGCCCTTGGCCCAGGGCCAGGAGTGCACGGTCACCGGCTTCCTGCGGGACAAGCTGCAGTACAAGAACCGTCTCCAGTACATGGTAACTACATGGGCGTCCTGTTGGCCCTCTTCCTAAGCCCCTTAGCTCTCTGGGATTAGGGACCCAGACGTATGGGGCCCCTCCTTGGATTTCTGAACCCCTGTTTCTCCGTCTCTGCCTTTACTCATGGACACACATATACACCCCTGCTCTGAGGTTTTTGTTCCCTCTCCTACCACCCATCTCAGGGGGCCTATACTCCTCTCACTGGATCTGAGCTGTGATCCTACCTCCTCGTGGCACCTTCACTGTGGCCCAGCAGTGGACTCCAGGAAGCCTCGGGGGAACTGCACACTATTAGGGATGATAAGAACCTGGAAATTGGAACCTTCCATTCTTTTGTAGGGTGGAGAAAGAAACCCAGATAGCCCTCGACTCTTTTTCTGTTTCTTTTTTTAAGGTTTATTTTTATTTATTTGTGCATACAAGAACTGGAGTATAAGCCAGAGGTGTGTGGGGGGGGGGTGAGAGGATTCACCAGAGACAGAGTGGGGAGCAGAGCAGGTGGATCGACGAAGTACACTGCTGAGGGGAGCAGCAGGCGGGTCAGGAGAGGTCTGCCACGCCATGTGGGTCAGCTCCCTGGCTGGGGATCAGACTCCTGCAGTAGAGGCTGTGGATAGCTTCATGGCACTTTAACCCCTTGCACCACCAGGGAGGGCCAGAGTTACCTTTTAAAGTACTTCCTCACACCTGAATTTGTCTCCCTTAGCATAGTGTGCCCTTCACACCACTTCATGGCCTGGACTTCTAGCAATGGTGGATTTTGTTTCCTCCTTCCCTGTGTCCAGAGGAAAGAGAGCAGTTTTGGTCTCTCCTGAGAGTCAGATAACCCCTCAGCAGAGGGCCCCAGGGGCTCCCCTCCATTACAGTCTGTGGGAGGTGGGGGAGCCTGGCCAGACCCTTCCTGACCACATGGTTTGTTTTTGTGCCTCCCAGAAACACTACTTCCCCATCAACTACAGGGTCAGCGTGCCTTACGAGGTGGTGCTCAGAACCGCCAACATCACCAGGCTGGTGAGAACCCCTTCCTGGGCAGGGGTACCCCTACCTCCTGGGACATCTTGTGGACTTGGACTGGGAGGCCCACTGGACTGGGCAGGTCCTGTTTCTGCTCCCTCAGGCGAGCTGCCCTTGCTCAGGTGCAAGGTTGCCTGCTGCCTTCAGTGGACAGAGGTCTGACCCCCGTGTGGGACAAGTCCAGGGAGGTAGGCGTGGGAGGGTTGTGTTCAGAGAACCATGTCACTGGGGTGGGGGTCGGGGCCAGCGATTTCTCCTGTCTCCGCAGCAGAGGACCCAGGTGAGCCAGCAGGAGCTGCGGTATCTGTGGGCCTTGGTGAGTTTCAGTGCTACTGAGTCGGTGCAGGAGGTGCTGCTGGAGGGCCACCCGTCTTGGAAGTACCTGGAGGAGGTACAGACGCTGCTGTTGCATGTCAGACACCTCACGGTGAGTGCGTGTGCGTTACATGCGTGTGTGCCTGTGCTACTGTGCGTGTAGCCTGTCTCGGGGGGACGTGAGCACCTGGCCGCCTTGAGCACGTGCTCTGAGGGCCTGGAGGAAGCGGGGAGGGAGGCTGAAGAGGAGCCCCTGGAAGGCAGGGGCCGTGGTGACGTGGAGGACCAGGCTGGCGCAGCCAGAGGGGTGCCTGAGCCCTGTCCCTGTTTCTCTCCTGCTCTGTGGCAGTCACCATCCCGCCAAGAGCGGGCGAGGGAGGAGTAGGGGGGCACAGGGCTTCTTTGCCATGCAGCTCTGCTAATACCGTCAGGGTGGCTACTTGCATTTTACGTTAGTCAAAGCATATAGAACCTCACAATTCAGCTATTATCGTTTAACAGACGTTGACGATAATGATGGTGAGGATGGTAACGAGGCCCCTGCTCTCTGCCGGCTCAGCTAGGTTGACAGAGGCCTCGGGGACAGGTCCTCTAAGAAGCTTCCAGAGTGAGGTGCTAGGATTGGCATGTGCCCCCTATCCACACCTCCATTTTCCTCTGCTCCCCAACTCCAGCCCAGCCCTCCTCAGGCCCCTGGCACACACCTGCTGCCCAGACGGAACACTCGGCAGCGGCCTTGAGCATCTGGTGGCCAGGGCTCAGCACCGGCATCTGCCTTCGCAGCCCCTCCTCCCTCCCGCTCTTGGGGTAGCTCACAATTCTGGCAGGCGAGTGGGGACTGGGCAGTTTCCTTGGTGGCTCTTTCAGACCTGTGGGCAGGTGGGTGAGGGAGCTGACCTGCGGAGAAGTTTCCACCCTCCCTTTGCTTGACCTCTCAGGCTCTGAGCCCCGCTGGTGGGGATGGGGAGGGGGGCTAGAAGGAGGGGAGCTGAGCCCCTGCCCGCCCGACTGCTCAGATCTAACCAGCCTCAAGCTTCTCTCTGACAACATTAGTGGGCCGTATGTCCAGGGTCCACGGGCGGCAGGGTCTCTTTGGCTAGGGTGTGGGCCACGGGAGTGGGCCCCTTCTCCTTCCCGCCCTCCTCACTTCTTTCTGGACCTCCGTGTATTCCTTTTTCCAGGGCTGCCATACAAATTGCCACGGCTGGGTGCTTAAGACAATGGAAATCTGTTCTGTTGCAATCCTGGGGACAAGCCCGTTACTCCTTCCACAGTCAAGCTGTTCCTCCTTCCACAGACTCTATGGGGCCCTAGCATGGCTCCAGGCTCTGCCTCCACCTGCCTCCACCTCCTTTCTCTTTGTGTCTCATGTCTTTTCTATGGACACCTGGTTGTTGGATTTAGGGCCCACCCTAAAGCCAGGATGATGTCCTCCTGAGATCCTTACTTACACCTGCAAAATCCTATTTCCGAATAGGGCTGCTTTCACGGGTACCAGGGATGAGCCTCAGACATGGCCTTTTCTAGGCAGGAGTCAGGACAGTTTGATCTAACACACTTCACCTTTAGGAGGGTCCACCACAGCCCTCACATCTTCTACAGGATTTTTTCTACCAGGGCTCTGGGCTCTGCTGCTCACTCCCTCCCTTGGTGGCCCTGTGTTCCTTTTGCTAAATCCTGTGGAGAGAAGCCCCTGAGCTGGCAGCCAGGCCTCACCGCCCTCCCATATGGCCTCACCGGGGATCGGTAGGTGTCTTCGCACCCTCTAGGGCACTGCCCTCCTGTGGTGGCTATGCCCGGACTACCACTGTGAGGATGCCCCCACCTGCCAGCCTGCCTGACACTGTGGTCGTTTTTTCTAAGGACGGATAAAAAGGAGCCTCTGTCGTGCTTGGGCAAGGGGCGTCAAGGGGGCTCCCTTTCAGGTAACTCAGGCCCTGCTGGAAGAGATTGCTGCCTGGTCCCCAGATACCTCTCCCGGCGCTTCTGAGAGGTGGCTGAGTGGGGTGACACCCTTGTCTGAAATCCATCCTGAAGGTTTCCTCCCTTCCAGGCTGTGAACACCAGCCCCAGGGTGGAAGCATTGCTGTCACTTCTGAGTACCCCAGGGCTGAGCCTGAAGCCGGTGCGGCCCAAAGCCCTGCTGGACAACTGCTTCCGAGTCATGGACTTGCTCTACTGCTCTTGCTGTAAGGAGCACTGGGTTGGGGGGGCCGGGGCAGGAGGGCGGCGGGGGCAGGGACTTAGGCCACTGGGCAGAGCCACACCTCCTGGGCTGGCATATTCTCCAGAATGTTTCTGGAAGCCAAGATGGGCCTTGGTATGGGGATAAGAATGAGGTGGCTTGCCTGGGGATGAGGAGGGGCTGACTGATGCTGCAATTTTCCTCCTGACCCCTGCAGGTAAACAAAGCTCCATCCAAAGTTGGCAGGACTGTGAGGTGCCAAGTCCTGAGCCCCACAGCCCAGACCCCTCCATGCAGTGTGAAGCTGCCTGGCTGTACCCGCCGCACAAGGAGCCCCCCAACTCCCTGCCCCACTCCCCGGAATTCAAGGCTGGACCCCAGTGAGCATGTCGAGGGCTCAGGCCAAGGCCTCCCACACCGAGTGGGGCAACTCCTGCTGGGCGAGGGAGCCTGGGAAGGGCGCTTTTCCTTTGAGGGACTTTGTGCCTGATGCGGTCGGCCTCCAGCGTAGGGCACCTCGCCCGGTCTCACCTGCCAGGCGGGGGCGGGGCCTGAACGCGGCTGAGGCGGAGCTGCAGGCCCCTCCTCCAGCGCAGGGGCTGCCTCCCAGGCGCAAGGTGGTGCTGACGGCTCCAGTGGCCTGAGGGTGGGAGAGCTGAGGACGGGCAGGTGGGCTTGCGGGGGACCCCACCAGGGGATGCCGGAGAGGGCAGAACTACATGCCACATCTTGCCGCAGTGGATGCTCTTCCAGTTCCCTTTTATTTTTTCTATTAAACATCTGCTTTGTTTTTGTTTTGCGTTTCGTCTTCAAAACCACCGACAGGCCAGGAGGCTTTGGGTGGGGGGTGGGGGGGCGGAAGACGAGCGGGCGCTGGCTCAGTCCTGGGGCGCGGCTTCGAGGGCTGCTTAAGAAGGCACCCGAGCAGGGTCCTGCGAAGTCCGGTCGGTAAGGGGTTGAGTTCCTGGCAGTCCCGCCTCGCGCGCGCGGAGCCGCGCCAGCTCGCGGGGGGCAGACGGCGCCCGCGGGATGGAAGGTGAGGCCCGGGGCGGGGAGGGGCTGGGGGAGGCCGCGGCGGAGGAAGCTAGCCGGAGGCAGGTGTTATTACAGTACAACTTTATTAATACTGGAATCTTCACAGTGCATTTGTTACTTGTAGCAGTGACTAAATCCTGGGGAGGGGGAGGGGGGGCGGAGAGGAGAGGTTCATTTATCCAAAACCGACAGAAAGAAGAGAAACGAGATGGTTCAGATGGGATTGGGGGGTGGGGTGGGGTGGAGGGCGAGGCCAGGTGTGTGCGGGTGGGTGGAGGGAAGAAAGGGTGAGTAGGAACCAAGAGGAGCGTCCCGGGGTGGGGAAATAAAATAAAAAAAAAAAAAAAAAAAGGAACAAGTTAACAACAGCACCAGAAAAGTTACTTCAGTCAAAAGACGCTTTTGAAAAGAATATTTCTCTGTACAAAATGGAAAATAAACGAACGTAAATAAGTCCCCCAAACCAAGGTTTGTGGCGCGGGATGGCTGGCTCGTACCCCGAGGGGGCGGGCCTACCTATGCCGAGGGCGCTAAGTGGAGCCTTCGGGAAGGAGGGTTATGTACAGCCCCGGTGGGGTGGGCTTGGCAGGGCGAGGAGGGGGCGGAGGAGCATGGGGGGGGCACATGCTCTTCTTCACAGGGACCTGACCTCCCCCACCCCCACCCCACACCCCTCCTTCCCCTAAGCCTGCTCACATCACATCCTGCCCCTCACACCATCAACCCACCTGGCACAATCCCAGCAAAGCCCTGGGGGCCAGGGTGTACAGCCCACCCCAAAGCCTCCAAAAGTGGCCACCTGCTCTCTGGATTCCCGCGGGGCCCCCGTTTGTCACGGGGCCCCCTTCCCAGGTGGCTCAGCAAGGCCATTCTCAGACCCAGCAACTTACAGGTTCATTCTCCATCCACCCTTGTGGCTCCAGCCACTCAAGGGCACCCTTGATTCCCCAGAAGCCCCCTCCTGGAACCCAGTTCCTGCCACAAGAACTACCAGGAGCTCCAGCCTGGTGCTGGGGGCTCACACCCACCCCATCCAGCCCAGGAAAAGCCTGCTCTCCTGACGCCAGCAGACCCCACCCTGTGGCCCTGACACCCTGTGAGTCCCGAGGGCTGGCCTGCCCCCTAGAGGAGCCCTCTGCTCCTCCCCCCTGGGCCCACGTGCTTTTACCTGCTTGAGTGGCTTGACCTAGTGTCCCAGGGGAAGAACCTCCCCACCCCACCCTGTTCCCTCAGGACCTGTACTTGGGGGGAGGGGATGTCCTGGATGGCATCTCCTCTGGTGACAGAGAGTCAAAGCCAATCTTCCCCATCCCCCCCAAACCCCTTCCCTGTCACCCTCAGACCACAGATAGGCCAGGCCCTGCCCCAGCCCTCTTCAACCTTATTTTGGCTACTATGCTCTGATGGCTGGAGAGAAGAACTACTGCCCCTTGGCTTTCAGGGAGCCAGTTCCTCCTTCCTCCTGCTGCCACGGGCCACTGGGCCCCTATGGGGACCCCTGTCCCTCAGGCACTCTCAGATACACCCTGTACTATCCACCCTGTCCCCACACGCAGTCCTTGTCCAGTCGGCTCCATTTTTTTTATTCTATTCATAAAAGATCCCCCTCCCAACACCCTCCACAGCTTCAGCCCTCACCCCCAAAGGCGGCTGAAACTAGGACCAAAGTGCCACCAGTCGGAGTCCCAACATGCTCAGATGAGGATGGACATCTGAAAGCAGCTCCTGCCTGCCTGGCCAGATGACCCAGGGCCTCTAGACTGCTCTGCCTGCTGTCCGGCCAGACCCACAACCGCAGCCACACCCCCAAGGGAGGAAAGCTGCCTCCCCTAAGCAGACCCCTTGCACGTGTCCCGCTCCAACTGGGCCCGTAGGCTTCCTTCCCACGGTAGGCAGCCTCTCAGCTCCAACCGACCCAGTCAACCAGTCTGTGAAGTTTTTTGGCAGGTTGCCCACCTGGCCCCTCCACAGCCACCCGCCTCCACCGGATGGAGGGAGCCTGGAGAGGCAGAGGGAAGGGAGAGCGAAGGAGAGAGGAACAGTCAGGGGCTCGGCATTCAGGAAAAGACTGAGGCCTTGCAGGCCCTGGGAGAAGCTGGGCCTGGGGCTGAGCCATGGCCCCGCTGGTCCCAGCAGCAGCGGGCAGCCTCTACCTTGGGTGGGGAGAGCGGCCTGGAGCTCACTGAGGTGTGGGGAAGGCCGGGCCTATGAGGAGGAAGAGGACAGAGTGGGCAAGAGAAGTATAAAATAGACTCCAAATCCTGTTCTCTGCCCGCAGGCTGCATCCCAGCCTGGTGTTCAAGAAGTCTCTTCCTGTTTCAGCGCTGAAATCCAGTCTGGGCGTCTCTTCGTAAAGTGGCTCTGCCTCAAGTGACTATAAAACCAGGCCAGTACTGACCTCTCCTGGCTGTGCCTTTGCTCTGAGCTGCTCCCGGGCCAGGCCGCCTGGTGGGCCCCAGGTCAGAGGGCGGGAGGGCGGCACCATCACAAGATGCGGGGTGCCGACCTGTCATTGGTGACGGTCCTGCGGAGCCGTACCCCACGCCGGATGGCCACCAGCATGTCTTCAGCTGGGGGGTCACTGGTGGCGGCTGGGGGTGGGGTGGGCGTCTCTTCCGCTGGGGTGGCTGACAGAGCAGTGGGGAAGGGAAACTGGCCCTCTCCCAGGGCGTGAGCCCCGGCCACCAGCTCCCCCAGCTTCTCCACCAGGCTGTGCCGATTGGCAGCCAACTGCTGCTGCTGCTGCTCCTCATCCGTGCCCAGCCCAGCCCCCAGCCCCGGGTAGCTGGTGGGCTCCGGGGCCGGGCTGGCCCAGGCAGTGTTGGGCAGGCTCAGCCGCTTCGGGGAGGCCTTAGCCAGGTCTGGTGCAAGGGGCGAGGCGGCCTCGTCGGTATAGAAGACACACTCCTCGCTGCCTGCCCGTGTGGGCCCTGCGTAGCCGGGGGAGTCGGGCACGGTGGGCGTCTTCACGGGCACGATGGGCGGCCTGATAGGGATGGGGCCAGCGCTGGAGAGGGCGCGGCGCACGGTGGGCTTGGTGGAGGGCGTGCGGCGGATGGTGGCCACACCAGGGGGCGCGCCCGAGGGCAGGCCAGAGGTGGAGGGGAGCCCCGCGGTGGGCAGCCCGGCCGTGGAGGCCGGGCGCTTGGTCTGGATCAGGCGGCGGTAATTCTGGGCGATGTTGCTGTTACGTGGGATGGTAGATGATTTGTCGAACTCGGGGGGCCCCTCGCCGTCTGCGTCCCCGTTCACCGAGTAGCAGTCGTAGTCAGAGCCTGGGGGTTTAGGAGGCGGTGGGTCTGGGCGCCGGGGCGGGGGGCCGGTGACAGTCACCCAGCGCGGCGCCGAGGGCCTACCTTGGGAGGGGATGGTGTCCTCCGAGCAGGAGGGTGTGGTGGTCTGCGTGCTGTAGCCGCTGGAGTACTGCAGGGAGTCTCGGCTGCTCTTCTGGTGCTCCAGGCTCAGGCCGCGGGTCAGCACCATGGCAAGGTCACTGGCTGCAGGGGAGACCTCCTCCCCGTGCTGGGGGAGTGAAGGGGGTAGTGTTGCAGGCTGAGGCCTTTCTTCCCTCTTTTGGCCCCAGCCTGAACTCCAGGCAGCCCTCACCCAGTGATCGGAACCGGTTCCGAGCTCACTTGCCTGGCCTCCCAGGCACAGATCTGGCAGCGCCGCCGGGGTGTTGGCTGGGCCGCCAGGGAAATGCCGCCTACCTTGGCCGCGATGGTGGCTGGGGACATGCGGGGTCTGGGTGCCTCCTCCCCGCTGGGGCCCAGGCTGCCCCCACTGGCGGGGACGGGCTCTGCGTCCCGGAGGAGCTCCACGCGGTCCTTCCTCCGCTGCAGGGTAGTGCCGGAGGGCTGCTCGTGGGGGCCGGCCTTGGACCAGTCCTGCAGGGTATGGTGAGAGGGTCACTGGGACCTTGGCCCTGCCGCCGTGGCCAGGGGCCCTTCGCTCGGCTTGAGGTTCAGGGTTTCCAGGCCCAGGTGAGGGCCCAGACTCACAACGATGGTGAGGGGGAGAGTATGGGAGGGTGCTGGGCCCAGATCCCATGAGTGAAAGATGTGTCTGTGGGGAGTGGCAGGAGGGGTGCCCAGGCGGGGAGCACTAACCGAAGTGGGGGAGCCGCACTCGCTGACCGACTGGCAGGTTTCGGAGGCCTCGGAGGACGCGGAGCTGGAGGACTTCTGCCGTGCAGAGGCGAGCAGGTGGGTGCACAGTACGGGGCAGGGAGGCGGGGGGAAAGAGCAGGTCTGGTCACCGCACAGGCATGCAGATTCCGCACCCTGCCCCGTGCGCCTCCAGGGCCATGTGCGAATAGCACCCAGAGTGCCGTCAGGCGCTGCCCCACCCAGGGCCCAGCCCAAGCACCACAGACCGTGAAGAAAAAAGAAGGACCCTCTGCGGGTGGCCTGGACGTGTGGGCAAGGGAACCAGCCAGACAAAGGACAACAGCTGGGCGGCGGCCAGCCCGAACTGCTGCACAGCTGGCGTCCCCATGGGCTGTGTGGGGTACAGAGTTCCATCCTGCACATGTTAAGCCGCACAGAGGCGAGGCCAGCAACGCTGCCCTGTTGTTTACAAGTCGGTTTAGGGAAACAGCAACGTTGGAGCCACACGTCTGGCAGTGGGACAGGATATGGTAACACAGGCAGGGAGAGTGCTAGGGAAACGCTCCAAGACACTCCAAGAAGAGGGCCCAGTTGAGGTGAGTGACAGGGAGCTGCCGCTGCAGAGGGAGGGAACGTCAGGAAAGGGTAATGCGTTGGGGGTGAGGGTGGGGGGCACCTGCTGCTGCAGGGGGCCTGGCAGATGACAGCAAGCCTGTCCTGGAGGCCTTGAGAACTGTTTCAGCATGTGGAGGCAGAGGGCCATTTAAGAGGGCACAGGAGAGGCCCGCCCTGGTGGCACAGCGGGTTAAAGCATAGCACTGCAAGCTGGCCGCAACCACTTCAGAGTGAGTTCAATCCCCGCCCCGGAGGTGACCCACAAGCACAGCAGACCTCTCCTGACCCGCCCACTGCTCCCCTCAGCAGTGTACTTCGTCGATCCACCTGTTCTGCTCCCCACTCTGTCTCCGGTGAATCCTCTCACTCCCTGCACCTCTGGCCTGTAGCCCAGTTCTGTATGCATAAATAAATCTTTAAATAAAAAGGGGGGCCCTCCTTGGTGGTGCAAGGGGAGGGGGACACAGCACTGCAAGCTGGCCGCAGCTGCTTCAGTGTGAGTTCAATCCCCCGCCCCAGAGGTGACCCACATGGCACAGCAGACCTATCCTGACCTGCCCGCTGCTCCCCTCAGCAGTGTACTTCGTCAGTCAGCCTGTTCTGCTCCCCACTCTGTCTCTGGTGAAGCCTCTTGCCACCCCTGCATCTCTGGCTTATGCCCCAGTTCTGTATGAATAAATAGATAAATCCTTAAAAAAAATGTTTAAATAAAAAGGGAGGCATTGAAGGTTCCCCCTCTGGACAGTGGGGTGGGGGGGCTGATGGACCAGCACTCTGGGAGGCCCTCAACTCAAAACAAGAAAGAATGAAGAAAAAAGAAGCAAAGGCAGAAACAGTACCCCGAGCTCCTGAGATTGTGTGGCCGACAGGGTCCCCAGCATGGAGGGGACCTCAGTGTGGGGTGGGGCACGCCCACAGCTCCCCATCCTGCCAAATTCTCTAAATCATCCTTGACTTAAGACTCCCAGATTCTCTACAGACAATGATGAATTAAGATTACCCCAATAGGCCCTCCCTGGTGGCACAGCGGGTTAAAGCACTGCACTGAGAAGCTGAAACCACTTCCGCATGAGTTCGATCCTCGCCTGCCCCGGAGGTGACCACATGGCGCGGCAGACCTCTCCTGACCCGCCCACTGCTCCCCTCAGCAGTGTACTTCGTCGGTCTGCCTGTTCTGCTTCCCCACTCTGTCTCTGGTGACTCCTCTCACCCTGCGCATCTCTGGCCTGTACCCCAGTTCTGTATGAATAAATGGATAAATCTTTAAAAAAAAAAAAAAAGATTACCCCAATAAAAAGGAAACAAAGCAACTCAGGAGAGGATTCAGAGGAAAGAATAAACAGATTTAGATTTTTACTAATATAATTGTTAAAATAACTATGGAAAAAGTATTTGGAAAGCACACTGGAAAAATTCCACACTTGATGAAAAACAAAAGCCAAGTTACTTAAAGTAGGACTAGAAAGGAAATTTTTTAATCTGATAGAGCATCTATAAAAATAGGTACTTTTCTCTCTAAGATGGGAAAAAGGATGCCACTGTCACCCTGACTGGGAGCCCTAGCAGAAAAAGAAGCAAAAAACCAAAGTATTGGAAAGGAAGAAATAGACTGGTCATTCTTTATAAACGACATAATGATATATGCAGAATAGTCAAAAGAATTGCCACTATTAGAATTAACAGGTCACTCTAGCAAGGTTATCAGGTATCAGTTCAATATACAAAGAAAACAAAATTAAAATCTAAATAGCAATAGCCAATAAGGACAAAAAGTCAATTTATAAATTATCAATAAACACCAAGTACCCAGACCAAAAAAAAAAAAAAAAATCCAGTAATAGATGTGTAAGATCTTTACATGAAAATTACAAAATATTATTGAGAGACAGTGAAGCAAGGAGGTCTTTGTTTTTTGCTGAAAACCGACAAGCTGACATTAACATTCATAAGGAAATGCAGAGGGTCAAAATAGCCAAGGGATACTGAAGAACAAAGCTGGAAGACTTTCATTGCTAGATACCGACGTACCTTTTATAAAGCCACACTAATTAAGACAGTGTAATGCTGGTATAAGAACAGACAAATTAGTCGGTGGAACCGCAATTAAACTCCAAAAATAGTCACACATACAGACACCTGATTTATGACAGAGGTGCTGCAGCAGGGAAAAGATGGTCTTTTCAATAAATTATCAGACATAAGGACAAAAAGACACCCCCGTCCCCACCACAATCATTTCCAAGATGAACTGTAGATTTCCAGGTAACACAAAAAGAGGGAAGGATCTGTGACCTTGGAGTACATAAACATCTCAAACAAGACAGAAAGCACTAGTCATTAAAACATTGATAAATTGGGCTTATTTTAAAATTAGGAACCTCAGATCATTAAAAGATTCCATTAAGAGAGGAAAGAGTCGATGGGCCGATAGCCATGATATAGCAGATTTTTACAAATCATTAAGAAAAGACAGATGGTGGGCCCTCCCTGGTGGCGCAGTGGGTTAGGATGCAGCACTGCAAGGGGTTTAGTGCGATTTCAATCCCCGGCCCTGGAGGTGACCCACATGGCGCAGCAGACCTCTCCTGTCTCGCCCGCTGCTCTCTTTACCAGTGTATTTCAATAGATCTGATTGTTTTGCTCCCCACTCTGTCTCTGGTGAATCCTCTCACCTCCCTCCCAACCCTGCACCTCTGGCCTGTACCCCAGTCTTGTATGCATAAATAAATAAAAATAAATCTTTTTTCTTAAAAGGAAAAAGACAACTTAGAAGTGGGTAAGGGATTAGAACACCAAAAGGGGGTACCCAAATGACTGGTAAGAATATGAAAATCTATTCAAATGCAGTGGTTAATAAGGAAATGCACGTGAAAAACACAGGGCACCACCACTGCACCCCCAGAAGAGCTACAGGGAAAGTGATGAAAAGAACCAAAGCCTGGTAAGAACATGGAAGAGTCATTAGTCACTGCTCTTCTATTTCTTGCTAAAAATGTATTGCCGCAGTCTAATTCAGAGAAGACATCAGTCATCCGAAATGGAGAGAGGTCCTATGAGGTAGCAGACTGGAAGCATGAGGAGGAACAGCACTGCCACAGGCTGGGGAGGCCAGAGGACCCAGCCCTAAAGCAGTGTGGGAACCTGCGTTGACCTTGGACTCCTGGATTAGGAAAAAAAAAGATCTTAGTGAGAAAACTGGCAAAATCTGGTAAGTCTATATATGTGTTAGTAGTATAGCACCCATGTCAACGTCTAGGTCTTGAAAAAACTTTTCTTTAATGATTTATTTATTTATGGGACCTCCCTGGTGGTGCACGGGATAAAGCACAGCACAATAAGGCTGATCAATACAAGTTTGATCCCCGGCCAGGGAGGTGACCCAGATGGCACAGCAGACCTCTCTTGACCAGCCCACTGCTCCCTTCAGCAGGGTATTTCAGTCAATCTGCCATTTCTGTCTCTAGTGAATCCTCTTACCACCCAGACCTTTCACATATACCCCAGTACTTGTCTGCATAAATAAATCTCATATTTAAAAAAAATGTATTTATGCATACAAGAACTGGGGTGTAGGCCAGAGGTGGGGTGTGTGTGAGAGGATTCACCAGAGACAGTGGGGAGCCGAACAGGAGGATCTAATGAAATACACTGTTGAGGAGAGCAGTAGGCAAGATAGGAGAGGTCTGCCACACCATGTGGCACCTCCCTGGCTGGGGATCAAATTCATGCTGCAGTGGCTGCCGACAGCCTCATCGTGCTGTGCTTTAACCCACTGCATCACCTGGGAGGCCCCGGTTTTGAAACTCTTTGGTAGTGATGTAGGGTGTTAATATTAGGAAGATATGGAGAGGGTGGGTGGTCGAGGGAAATCTGTACTCTCTGCAAGTTTTCTGTCAAACTGAAATGATCTCAAAATAAGTTAAAAAATTAAAGACCACTCTCAATGGATGGTTAAGTAGCTAATAAAAAAGAAATAAACTGAAAGCTCTACCTGAAGACACTGTCCACAAACAGGACAGAAAAGCTAGATGAGAATTAAGAGACACAGACAGAATAAGAAGCTGACACACAGTTAACTGGAATCCCAGGAGAAAAGAATCAAAGCAGGAGTAAAGAGACAAGGGCTGGAAATTCCCAGTACAAATCAAAGATGTGAATACAGAGCTATGGAATACCAACACATCAAGTGAAGTTAAATAAAAACAAATCAATAACTAGACACATTACCAAAACTAAAGAGAAGACCTTCAAGAAGAGCCAAAGAGAAGTTAGATGCTTACAAAGGAGAGATAATGTAGCTGGGAGCAGGTCCTCAACTAAAAATGGGAGCAAAAACGCACTGGAAAAGTATCTTCAAAGTGGGGAGAGAGAATAACTGTCACCCCACAATCAGGTAATTGGCAAAGTATACTTTGAAGAAAGAGGACAAGATGCACGTGACAGATAAACAAAAAGCTAAGAGTTTACTGCTATACATAGACCTTTTCTAAAAGACCTGTTTTTGGTTTTGTTTTTTTTTGGTTAGAAGAATTGGGGTGTAGATCAGAAATGCAGGGGATGAGAGAATTTGCCAGAGATGGAGAGCAAAAGAGGCGGAATTACTGAAGTACTCTGTACTCTGCTAAGGGGAGCAGCAGGCGAGACAGGGGCCTGCCGTGACATATGTGGGTCAGGTCCCTGGCGGGGGATCAGACTCAGGCCATAGCGATGGCAGCACTGAGACTTACCCCCTAGGCCACCAGGGAGGCCCCTTAAAGAATTTCTAACAGATATATTTTGCATCAGAAGGAAGATTTGAGATGCATGGAAAAAATGATGAACAAAGAAATGTATAAACATTCAGGTAAGCCTAAATATGCTGTATATATAAAATAATGGTGACATCAAGAAGAAAAATGTAATTTTTGGGTGTTATAAAAGAATAGAACATATAATAGCTTCCATGTTGGCAGGGAGGGTGACTGTAGTTACAATGTGTATTAAAGTCCTTGAATTACTCAGGAGGGGGGGCTGTGATTCTGCTAAGGATGCATGATAAAATTTCATGCATCCTTACTGTTGCTGGAGTAACAGGCCTCCAGCAGTGGCAGCAGGAATCAGGCTGCTGGCAGGCTTCTAGGTTTCCAAGGAGGCGAATCCTGCTGGAATCAGAGCCATCAAATTGCCACCATGACTGTGGGCAAGAACAGCAAGATGCAGCTCTTTGGCTAAAGGATGAGTGACATCCTGCAAGATGTCTGGTTCTTCACTGGCACCTTTAAGGCTTTTTGCAAGCTTGTAAATTTGATCCTCTGTGACTATGGTGATCCAGGAAGATTGAGCCAAAGAACTCGAGGCAAGCAAAAGAGATGCAAGTCCTCCTCCTGGTGCTACTTTGAGGGGAGAACGTGGCCTTGATAGTAGCAGGGCCTCCTCCCAGAGGTACTGGCATGGCCTGAGTGCCATTTGCCGGGGGCAAAGGGGTCAGCAGGGCAACTGGCAGAGGAATCCTAGCTGGGATTCCCATGCCCCAGGCTCTGGCAGGACTTGCTGGGCAGTCTGTGAGTTTGGTGGGCCATCACAAAAGGCGATGTCCCTGCAAGGAGAGGCGCTGTTGCAGCTGCTGCCAGGCCCAGTCTTGCAGAAGCTCTAGCCAGTACCCACCTGGCTGTGGGGATCCTCCCCCACCTATAAGCTGATGCGCACCCCCTGCAGGCATGATGGGCTCACCTCCTGGTATGAGGATCTCCAATGGGCATGTCCCCTCCAGGGATGCAGCCCCCTTCCCAGGTAATGCGCCCACCAAGGCCCTAGAATCATGCTGGACCTCCTCAGCCCCCTGCCCGCTTCCTTCAAGGGTATATATGCTCCTTTTATCTCCTTGTGGTTTGTGAAGCTAGTTTATAATAAACTTTTTTTTTAAAGATTTATTTATTCATATAGAACTGGGGTACAGGCCAGAGGTACAGGGTGGACGGGAGGATTCACCAGAGACAGAATGGGGAGCAGAACAAGTGGATCTTCTGAAACACTGCTGAGGGGAGCAGTGGGCGTGTCAGGAGGTCTGCCATGCCATGTGGGTCAGCTCCCTGGCTGGGGATTAAACTTGTGCTGAAGCGGCTTTAGCTTTGTAGTGCTGTGCTTTAACCCATTGTACCACCAGGGAGGGCCCTATAATAAACTTTTCAGAGAATATCCTAGAAAAAAAATTTTAAGACAACCTATAAAAGAGTAGAACCTACAATCTAGTAGAAAAAAATCTGTAGAACCTGTAATCTATAGAAGAAAGAGTATAACCTGCAACTTAGTAGAGAGGAAATAATAGGAAAAGGATAAACTAATGGCAAAGTACAAAGTACAGGAAAGAACAATGAAGAGGAAAAACACAGAAATCCAAATATGTCAGTAAGCATAATAAATATAAATGAACCAAAAATGCCAATTAAGAGAGAGATCTTGTCACACTGAATAAGAAAAGAAAATTGGGCCTCCCTGGTGATGCAAGGCTTTAAGTCTCAGCACCACGAAGCTATCGGCAGCCACTGCAGCACGATTCAGCCCCAGCCAGGAGCTGACCCACATGGCGAGGCAGACCTCTCCTGTCCCACCCGCTGCTCCCCTCAGCAGTGTACTTTGTCGATCTGCCTGTTCTGCTCCCCGCTCTGTCTCTAGCGAATCCTCCCACCCCACCCCCCAAGCTTCTGGCCTACACCCAGGCTCTTATATGCATAAATAAATCTTTTTTTAAAGAAAGAAAAGAAAACCAAGGCCTGTGTTTACAAGAGGCTCATTTAAAACCTAAGGGCGTAGTCAGTTTAAAAGCAGAAAGGGGAAGTGCTAATATAAGCACTGAACAGAATAAAGCTGAGGTAGGTACAACTAAACAGACTAGATAAGATCACAGCATGTTAAGGAAAGGACGATCAGCTACACCCTGTTAGAAAAGTCAATTCACGATGAAAAATTAATATTTTAAACTTGCAAGGACTTAACGAAGGTAGTCTTAAAAAATATAAAGCAAATACGGATGTGGGAGAGGTGGACAGATCCACAATCTCAGTTGTCGATAGGTAAGGCAGAGGGACTGAATGGGAAGTGAGGGAGAAGGGGTCAGTGAAGACAACTCTTGAGAAATTCTGCTTTGAGGGAGAGCACATGGTTGGAGGAGCACGTTGGGGGTAGGAGGGCTTTGCCCATACAGGATTCCAGCGCCTGCGTGTATCAAGGGAGGGAGCCCGCACAGAGAGACACTGGCAGTGCGGCGGGGATATCCCTGGGCACAAGGGCAGGACACAGAATGCTGAGTCCAGAGGGAGCCACAGCAAGGCAGGAAGGGAGCACTGTGGACAGCGTCCTGGGCACGCGGCCTGCCCTCCCCTCGTCTTCTGCGTGGCCCCTGTTTTTCCATCTCACTGAGCCCACAGGGTCTGAGACAGCCTGTACCGAAGGGCCAGTCTCTGTCCAGAGTCTATGGGCCCGAGTGGAAGCAGGTGGACGTCTGCAGGTGCTAGGGGCCTCTGGGGATGGCTGCTAGTGTCCGCCCCGTCTGGGGCGGGGGCGGCCTTGAGGGGCCAGATCTGGCAAGCTGACCCTTTCCAGCTCTGAAGCCTGGAACGAGGGTGTAGGCCAGGAATGGAAACGTGCAAGGAAGTCCTGTGATGCACTATAACCCTCCCGAGTCTGACGGAGGGAGCACGGGTTGGGCCCCGGGGAGGGGGACCTATCCCTGAGGCTGGCGTGAAGCTCCTGTACTGTACCCCGGTTGGTCCTGCGGACACCCCCTCACCTGGCTGGTGATGTCTGAAGGCATGGGTGAGGGGGGCTTGGAGTAGGTGGCGTCCTGGGAGATGAAGCCAGAGTCGTGGGAGGAGACGCTGGAGAGGCGGGCGGTGGCTGGCTGCGCCAGGCTGCGGTAGCGACAGGTGGAACTGGGTGAGTATGTTTGGGCACCCCCAGGCCATGGGGCTCCGCTGCCCTTGGCACTGCTACTGCTGCTGGGGGCACTAGGGGGTGAGAGAGGAGGGCACAGCAGCCAGACAGGGAGACACAGGGGTATGTGTAGAGGGGAGGGTGGCAGGTGAAGGGAAGGGGGAGGTGAAGGGCAAAGGAAGGAAAAGATAATGTCAGACTACAAGGTCCTGGGTCCCAGGTGCCACAGACAAGCTGGGTTCCCGGACCTGAGCCGGGGGTGAGGGGGCTGGAGAGGACATCCTGGAGAAGTGGCCCAGCGCTCACTTCACGAGCCGCCGGGTGCTCCAGGAAGCACAGTCAGGGCCCGCCCAGCACCAAGCGATCTCTGACCTCAAGGGGACCTTAGGTTAACAACGGGAAACTGAGTCATATGTCAGTTTCACAAGGGGGCCGGAACCAGACACAGTCCGATCACTTCTAGACCGCCTTCCCCAAGCCTGACGTCTGCTATCGAATCCTGACTGGATATCCAGCGGGACCAGCAGGCGGTGGTGTGGGTGGCCCTTGGCCCCCTACTCCCCCCAGTGGCCCTCCCCTCCTCCACCTACGGGAGTAGCTGATGGCTGTGCCCCAGCCACCAAGTGCCCTGGTGCTCAGCCAAAGGGGGAAAGGTGCCTGGTAGACAGCCCTTCTCCCAGCTAGTGACTACTCATTGTCCTCCGCCAGGAGCCCCGCAACTTGAACAGCTCCTCCAAACCCTGCCCCTGGACTAGTCCCAGGGGGCCCCCAACCCAGGGACTAAATGAGGGCACTTGCCCCTCCTTGGCTTTGCGGGGGCCTGCCAGGGCCGGAGTGCGGGCACCAGCTCCCAGGGCCAGGCTGGAGTGCCCCTTCCTTTGGGGTGTCAGTGCATGTTCCCCAGAGCCCCCCACGCCTCCCATATCTTATTACCCCACACTGCCAGGCTTCCCAGTTGTTAAAGGCTGGGATTTTGAGTCTCAGTTTCCCCTTCTGTGAAATGGAGTCAACACCATCCTGACCACACGGTGTCAGGATTCACCATTAATGCAGAAAAGGCATAAAGCATCAGCGCGCGCGCCCCCCCCCCCCCACACACACTCAATGCCTTGACGAGATGCCTTGACGAGATGCCAGTCATGTGAGCTGACTTGCTGCTGAGGCCCTGAAGCAAGTCTTATGCACTTTTTGGTGGGTGCTTCTCTGCCCCCTCCCTAAGGTCTCCCCAGCCCCCACCAGCCCCCCACTGACCTGCACATGCTGGACTTTCGGGAGCTGGAGCTGCTGGGAGAGGAGGGTGGGGTCTGGTAGGACCAGCTGTAGTCTGAGCCTTTGAGGTCTTTGATCACCTGGATGAGGACACGGATGGAAGTTGGGGAGTCACTGGAGGCAGCCCACACTGCGGAAAGCTCCTTCCCCAGCCAGAGGCCCCTACTGTCTTCCCAAAAGAGGACCAGCAGGCCCCAGCAGGAAATCAGGAGACTGGAACACCCAATGCGAGTTCTTCACTCGGGGCTGGAGGCGGGGAGCAGGGCTGCTAGAGGGCTGGGGGAGACTCCCGGGGGACGCTGCTCTCTTCTGGTGTAGGCCCCCTCAACTCACACACAGCTGGATTGATTCTGAGCCAGCAGGAGCCAGGTGAGTGACCATGAAGTACACATGGGGTTCACATGCTGGCTCTCAGGCAGATTCGTGAACCTCTCTGAGCCTTAGTTTTCGCTTGTGAAATGATAAACACCACAGGCTGCCAGACAGACTAACCCTGGCACAGGGGAGCCGGTGGGGGGGGGGGTAAGGATGACAGGGATCACCAGATTTCTCAGGTGGAGCCTGGGGGCGCCATGCCCCATGAGTCTAGGACAGATTTCCATTCCTCTGCTTTCAGAAGCCACCCTGGGCCCTGGCCAGATCACCGCTCACCTGGGTGGGTGCTCCTGGATGTTCCATAGCAGGGGCCAGCTGCCTCCCCCAAATGTGTCTCCTTTTCTCCTCTGCTGTCCCCAACCCAGGTCAGGCCCTGCCTGTCCCTCCCGGCCCCGGCTCCAGGGCTGTCCGAACCTGCTCACTGGCGGGGGGCAGCTTGTGTGGCTCCGCTGTCAGCACCACCAGGTCGTCAATGATGCCCTGCAGGTGGGTGATCTCTCCCAGCATGGTCAGCTCGCCATTCTGAGGGAGGAGCACGTCAGGCCCGCTGGCCCACCCCAGCCCGCCCACCCTGAAGAAACAGGCCCCCCGGCCTGCCGTCCGTCCGGGACACACCAGTGCTGGTGAGCAGCGAGACCCTCCTTTACCCTGAATGGACCCAGCCTAGGATCGCTGAGAAGTGGCTTCCCCTGGAGGGCAAGGGGTCAACCCTGGGCCCAGCCCCACGGCTGCCGCCACCATCACCAAGAACTGCTGCCACCCAGCAGTTTCCAAGTCCTGCTTCTCAAACTGTTGTGGTGGCAGCACCCGAGGGGGCTGCTCCACCAGCGACTGTAGGGACACCATAGTGCTACGAGGGACCCACCACCACGGGCTGCAGGAAGGTGATGAAGGTGCAGAACCGGCCACGCTCCTCTATCAGGGCCCGGCGCACAGCCTGCTTCTCCGTCTCCTCCAGCAGCAGGTACATGTCGTTGACGTCCTGCAGGGCACTGTCCAGCTGGGGCTGTAGGTCTCCTTTCCCTAGAGGGGTTAGGAGGAGAGGCCGCGCTAGGGACGCTGCCCGGGCTCACCATATTCATAGCTCAGGCCCCATGGGGTGTCCCTGGCCGTGGGGCTCGGGGTGAGGGACAGCATCAGGGAGGGTGGGCGGGCTCTAGGGCATGTGGCAGGGTGCCCAGAGCAGGCAGAGAGGACAGACTGACACACACACAGGAAAGACACCAAAGCTGCGAAGCCACCACGTCCTGGGGGGTGCATAGCCCTCAGCTGCCCCTGGAACAGCTTTGCCCAGGGGATCCCAACAGGAGGCCCCCGCACAGCTGAGGGACACCCCACTGCCATGGGATGGTGTCTCTTTGCCTCACAGGGCACAGGAAGCTCAGCTGGGGGCGAGGCCGCTGAGGGCTGCTGGTGTCAGGCAAGCTCGGGGCTGTGCCCCAGGGGGAGGCAGAGTAAGGGGTATCTGAGTGTGGGCCCCTACTCAGCTCAGGGTGCAGCACAGGACAGCCAAGGCGACATAAAGAAGCACTGAGAGAGAGAGAGGCGAGAGGATGATATAGAGGAGACAGCGAGACAGGAAGGGGGAAGGCGACAGATGAGGACTCTGGGAGGGCCTGCGCCCCCCACCCCACCCGGTCCAACCTGTCTGGGCCTGGCAGACTGACCCAGCAGTGGCCCCGGACTCATCCCTGTCCAGGGACCCCAGGGAACCCTCCCTCGCTGGACCAGCCGCCTTCCTCGCTCCTCCTTGGCTTGGAGAGACTCCTTCCAGTGAATGGCCCTGAGCTGGGGGAACAGACAAATGCGACAAGGACGGGAGGAGCAGCTGGAGGGATGGACATTTGACTTACCAAGTAGCTCTACAGGAAGGATGTGGGAGGAGGAGAGGAGAGACAGAGAGAGAAAGAATGTGTGAAAGACAGCCGGATGGACAGAGCCACTCTTGGGGGAGGGGGTTGGGAAGGGGGTCCTGGGCCGGTGGGGCCTCCTGCTGAGGGCGGTGCTGGGTCAGGTCTGGGATGCAGGGTGGCTCCCCTTACCCCACCCAACAGCTTGGAGGGTCCTGTGTGGAGGATAGACACCCCTCCAGCCAGGATGATGGCCTGGGGTGCCCCATAGGGCAGAGTCGGGTGGGGCTCAGAGGGGCGGGGGTTGTGCCTCCAGCACTGAGCTGGGCTCTACCTTTGCGCGCTTTCTTCTGCAGCTTCAGCGTGTCTGAAGACTTCTTCTTAATCTCATGCCGGGCCCGTTTGTACTCTGCAAGGCGGGAGAGAGGAGCGATTTGGTGGGGGTCTCCAAGGAGTGGTGTCGGGAAGCCCCAGTCCAGGCAGGGAGCTTTTGCCCCACCTTTTGCATGGTCCTTGTCTAGCTGGTTGGCCGACTTCTTCCAGTCCTCGATCCGCTCCTGCAGTGGGTTGATGAGGCTTTCCAGCAGCGCGCTGTGGGTGGGAGTGGGGGGTGTGCAGGTCAGGGCTACCAGGGGCGTCTCCCTGCGACACACCTACCCACCTGCCCATCCACCCGCGGCGCCCACTCACTTGGTGAACTGCCGCAGCTTGGTCTCGATACTGCGGTGGCGCATGCACATGCGCGTGAGCGCCGAGCCGATGTCCCGCGTGGCCCCTGGCGAGGCAAACGCGCGACATGGGAAGGGGCCCGCCGCGCCTCTGCAGTCCCCGCCTCGGGCCACCAGGGGGCGCGCCGGGCCGCACAGGCCTTATCCTCAGCCTGCGCCCCGCCCCCTGCATTCCGCAGTCCTGAGGGCCCCAGCCCGGGATTTGATCATCCTTCAGCATTTTACCCAGCCCCTTCTCCGTGCGGGACCAAGGCCCTACCCATTCCGGACATGCCAGCCGCCAGCAGCAAGACAGGCCGGAAGCTGCTCTCAAAGTTGGGAGAGTCCAGAGCCAGGGACTGTGCAAAAGCCAGAATCACGCCCACCAGTATGGGGAACCCCTCCTCCCCAGCTGTGCCCAGATGCAAGCTAAGTGTGTGAGCAGGCGCCCACTGCCTCACTCCTTGGAAGAAACAGGAGCTCTAGGTCCCTGCTACTGAGAGGGGCAGAGGACACCCAGGCCTCCCGGGATTGCTCACCTGCCCTGAGTGCATTGGAGGAACAGATGGGGGTGGGTGGAAGGATGCCCAATGCAGACTAGGGGCACCCGACCTTGGTGGGAGGTGGGACTGGTGGTGTCCAGTGAACCACCCGTCACAAGAATGGAATCCCCCTTAGCACCCACTCGGCCTGCATGCCTCTAGTGACCAGGGGCCTGCTCTCTTCCCAAGTAGCCCATCCATTAGGGTGTGGAACTCAAGGTCCTCAGCCTGGCCCATAACCCTTTCTAGCCTCCACACCCAACCTGGAACACTCCCAACCTCCAGCCACGCCCCCTCCCCACCTCGGGTGTTGGTGGCCATGTCAGCCACTTTCTGGAAGGCATCCAAGAAGGCCACAGCAGCCAGCACAGTGGTCCTGGGGAGATGGACAGTGGGACGGTCTGTGGGTAAGGTGCCGCTCCTCCGCCCATCCCCTCCCCAGCCCTGCGGGGCACCTCAGCAGTCTCACCTCAGCTGGGAATGTAGCTTCGTGGCCTTGGAGTTGAAGTCTTCCCAGATGGGGTAGGAGCTCTGCAGAGGAGACAGGAGGGAGAGGAAGTCAGGACTCCAGCGGGCAGCAGGGCTCTGGAGGTGCGCCTCCCTCCTTCCAGACTCTGGGTGTCTCTCAGAGAGCCCTGTCTGCTGAAGGGGGGGCTTCTGGGTCCTCTGGAAGGAATGAGGACCGTGCCATGGGGCACGAGGAAGACCTGGTCCTGGGAGCAGACATCTTTGCTCACCCTTCCTTCCCTGATAGTCCAGCCTGCTGTGTACAGTGGTGGCCTCTTCAGCCTAGATCCTCCCTGAGGGGAGCAGGAGACAGTAAAGGGCAGGTCCTGGATCTCCTTGGGGCTCCCCAGAGACCTGGCACCCTGTGCCCCAGGGATTAGCAGGGGATGGTCCCCCTGGTGTGGGAGCAGAGACAAAGTGAGCAGGGTGGACGCTGGCAGGGCTCAAGGCACGGCAGGTCTAAAGTGGACCCCCACTCTGCGGCCAGGAAGCCAGCCAGCCAGGCAGCCAGCATGGCCAGCAGCGATGGCTCCCAGGCCCAGGAGGCTGTGGCTGCTGCAGGGCCCGGTCAGTCTGCCCGGGACAGCCAGGCCTCGGGCTGAATGGAGCCTTGTGCCGCCAACAGAGCCACCTTTCTCCACCCCCGGCTCCCTCCCCTCCTGGGGACACAGTGTGGCCTTTATCCCAGCCTGGCCCAAAGTTCCGACTTGGGAGGGGGTTTCGCAGTAGGGAGGTCGGACTCCTGGCGTCCGAGTTGTCCAGTTTGATCAAGGGGCCTTTTTGGCTAATGTGCCTCCCTCCCAGCCACTGGTCCTGCAGAAAACACAGTCCTGGCCCAAGGCCCTGTGAAAGCCTGGCTGGGTTCTTCAGGGACCAGGTCAGCCAAACCCCGATCCCAAGGGTCTTCTTTTACTCCTTCCCATGTGGGTTCCATGATGGAATCCCAGATGTGGGTTCTAGATGCCTCTCCAGCAAGGTTCAGCTGACTGGGTGGAAAAGAGACAGGGAAGCTTCTGGGAACTCAGAAGCTCCCTCTTCATCCCTCCCAGCCTAACCAGTGCCCAGGGAAAGCAAATATTTGAGAAGTTCACACAGGCTGAAGGGAAGGGGAGGCTGTGGGTGGGCTGTCTCCATGTGGGCACAGCTTAGGGTACGGGGCCTGGGAGGTTGCCCCTGGCTGACCGTTGTCTTGGCACCCACTGGGGTCTTCTCAAAGGAGTACCCATCTCTCTCAGACTCAGTCCTGAAGCTCTGCTAAGGTGCACCCCCATATCCCTGGGAGGGAGGTGATACAGGGGGTGTGTGCGGAGGGTGGTCCAGAGAGCAAGGCATCCTTACCCCATTAAGAGTCCTTGGGCTGGGCCCGACCCTGCCACTAACCAGGCAGGCTCACTCCATCCCAGGCCCGACAGCCATGGGCCTCCCAGGGGGGAGAGGGCACCGAGATTCCTCTTCAGCAGGTGGAGCCGAACCCCTCAAAGGTCTCAAAGACCTGGGTGGGATTCCATCCCACAGTCATTCATGAAGGAACCCAGACACTATAGAGTCTGTTGGTTGAGGAGCAGGGGCCAGGGGCCCAGGTGGGGGGAGTGTCCCAAGCTCACCCCTCACCCAGTGGCACTGATCCCTGGTTCCCATCACTGGAGACAGTGGGAGAGCTGGCCAGGTGCTCGCAGCGGGCCAGGCATGGCGCCAAGGAGGCCTCTCAGTGTTTGAGTCCATCGAGTCCTTCCTGAAGCCCCATGAAATAAGTGCTGTTATCCCCCATCTCAGATGAGGAAGCTGGCGCTCAGAGAGTGTTGTTCAAGACCACTGACTGGCAGGGTCAGGCTCTGATCCTGTATCTGACTGGACAGATTTGGGGGAGTGGGTTCCCTGCTTCCAGGGTGCAGGGAGATGAGGAGCACACAGGTGGTGGGGAAACAGCAGGGACTCCAGAGAACACAGTGGGCTGCTCTGGAGGGCAGGTGATGTGCCTGTCACCCCATGGAGACCAGCGTGTGGGGCCCTGTCCAGTGGCCGTGGTGCAGGGGTGGGCTGTGCTAAGGCGCAGTCCAGGCTGTAATTTCAAGAGGGCTTTCTTGGGGGGACCAGGCCGGGGTCCCCTCTCTAAGCTTCCATGTGGAAGCACCTCCTTGCCCTGCGTCAGCGTGGAGGCTCAGGAGGGCTACAGGCACCTAGCTCAGTGCCTGGCACAATGGAAGCACAGAAAGGCTGGCTAGCAGAGAGGGCAGGCACAAGTGGTGATGGAGTTTTTGGGATGGGCCCATGGGGGTGGGGGTCTCCAGCACGCGCTGAAGACACGGCCTGGGCTACCATGGCCAGCTCTGTCACCTTTGGCAAATCCTGGCTCCTCCCTGGGCTCCAGTGGGCAGTCTGGCACCAAGGGGGCACCTGAGCTGAGTTAAAGGGGGCACAACAGGCAGGGGAAGCTTCTGACCCCTCCAGGTGCAGGTCTAGGGGGGCTCCCTTCGCTGCTCCCAGGCCACCAGAGGGGCAGGAGGACTGTTACGGGGCCTGGGGTGCTCTGTGAAGAGGCCTTATGGGGCCAGCCGTCTCCTCAGCCTGGCCACCTCCCTCTACGGAGCCCTGCTGCTTCTGTGGCTCAGGCCACTGAGAGAAACAGCTAGAAGCTGCACCCCAAATCCAGGTGCTGAGCCTCCAGGTGGTCGAGTCACCAGCTCTGTCCCTGGCTGAATGCAGGCATGTGTCATAGGTAGGAGAATAGCATACTTGGCATCATCCCAGGTGAAATCACTCCCATTTTGCCTCCGCATGCCAGAAAATCCTGCCTGGATCTCTTGCTACAATCTGGGCCCATTTCCTTCTGTCTCATCCCGATGCTCCTTGCAAATTGGCTGGAGAGGGAGGGAGATAGTCCTGCCCCTCTTCTCTAAGCAAAACTGCTGCTCTCTGCAGTGTTTGCAGAGGCTGCCAGTGGGAGGAGGGTGCTGGGAAGGTCCCACCCTCAGCCAGCCCTGGCAGTGGTTGGGGGAGGGTGGTCTGGGCTGCTGGGTTACTGGTCCCTGGAGGGGATGCTGGTGCCAGGGTGGAGATGTCCCTGGGTAGAGCGGCCAGGACTTGTGAGGGTTGGCAGAAGGGTCTGGAGATGAAGTTGCAAGGTCTCAGGGGAGTACCCTGAGGAGTGGGGGGCACCTACATGCTGTCCATTAGGCCCAGGTGAGGGTGATTTTGGGTCTCTTCCAGGGGACAGTGATCTGGTAGCTGTTCCTGGAACTGTTGCCTTGGAGCAAGCCTGTGATCCCCCGCCCCCCCCCCCACACCCAAGGGCCTCTCTGCCCTTGGTGTGTGGTGTCTCCTCCCGGGCTTGAGCTGTCACCCTGGGACTCTGTGCTGTATACCTGAGTGTGTGATGGGAGGGGAGTTCTCAGGAGAACTAGGTTGGGGAGCCCAGTTCTCTTTGCCTGCTCTCTGTGCGTCCTTCCCACGACCCTCCCTTAGAGGTGGACAAAACTCTGCGGGGTCCCAATCCTACCCCTTGGAGCAGGTTCTACTCCCTGTATCTGTCTGCACCAGCCATGCCAAACCCTGACTTTTGGGGGGAGAGGATCCCCTCCAACCCCCTCACCCCCCAGATCAACAATGAGGGGTGAGGTCAGAGACAGCATCCAACAGTCTCCTTAATGACCTTGAGTCATTCCCAGGTCTCAGTTTCTCCAGCTGGTGAGCCAGGAGTTGGTGGTCTACTCTACCCTGACCTTGGGCTTCCAAGGAAGGGGGCTGGGGTGGAGAACCTGGGGCACAGTAGGAGAGGGTAGGCCCTCCCTTTGGGTTGCTCCCCAAACCCAATCTTCTCTCACCACCTTCCAAGGTGAGGGCAGAGGCCCTGGGATGCAGCAGGGACACTGCCTGGACACCTTGGAGTCCTGCCCTTTCCTGAGGCTTGTTGCAGGGTCGGGGGCTTGGGGCGGCAGTCCCAGGGTCAGACGCATTGGCCGAGGCCGGCGGGGAAGGAGTTAACGGTTCTCTGCTTTATTATTTTTCCCTGCTCAGCGGTGACAGCATTGTCTGGGTTCCGGGGCCGTCGGGGCTGGGGGAGGGGGGGTATGGTGGTGGAAGGGGGCGTAGGCCCGGAGACCCCGAACAGTTAAAGGGCCTTAGAGTCGCCCCCGGAGTCAAATCCCATTCATGGTTTGGGGGTCCAGGGCGAATAGAGCCCGCGTGGGCGCTGGGCAGGGTCGGGACCTTGCCCAGACGCTGCGATCCAAGATACCCCGGGCACCATCCGGACACCCCAGCTCTCGAGCCTCCGGAAACCCAGGTGTACGGTGGACGCAGGCCGGACACTCGCAGACAAGGACACGCAGGCAGCATCGCGGCGCACGGTTGCCCGCCGCCACGAGTCCCCAGAGGGGACGAGAACCCGCGCTCGCGCCCGCCGCGCCCCGTTACCTTCATGTCGTTGACGATGGCCTGGAAGAGCCCGCCCAGGGCGCCGCACTCCTTCTCCGCGGTCTCCATGCTCCGGCCGGGCCGCGGCGGCGGGGCGCAGGCAGAGCGCGGGGAGCCGG